AGCTCAGACCGACGGGGCCTGCAAGGCCTCCAGCCTTACAAGGTGATGACAATCAGGAGTCGACATGAGGTAATGAGGGGGCGTGGCACACACGAGGATCGTTCGGAGCTGAAGGTGCGCACACCGGGCGCGCCCGAGGGGAGGCGACGGACGAGACGAGGGGCCCAAAACCTGGAAAACAAAAGCAAAACATCAACGGGACACCGGAAATAGGACAGAGATACAGAACAGGAACAGGGACCAGAAAAACGACAAGACCTGACAAAGGACGGGGAACGCAGACAGGCAGACAGAAAAGGGTGACACGGAGGGAACACCCACAGGCGACACGAAGGGGCCAGGAGTGAACAGAGGAGTGAACGGCAGGCGGTGCATCCGGAGCCACAGGCGTGACCGCAGGCGGTGCAGCCGGAGCCGCGGCCAGGACTGGCGAGCCGGGCTGGACGGGCAGGACTGGCAAGCCAGGCTGGATGGGCAGGACGGCGGCCTCAGGCAGGGCCGCGGGCAGAGCGGCGGCCTCAGGCAGGGCCGCGGGCGTGTGGCCAGCAGGGGGCGCCTCAGCGGGCACCGGCATGACGTGGCGCCTCGGCAGGCGCCTCGGGCGTGCGGCCAGCAGGGGGCGCCTTGGTGGGCACCGCTGTCACGTGGCCAGCAGGGGGCGCCTCTGCGCACACCTCGGGCGTGCGGCCAGCAGGGGGCGCCTCAGGCGCGCACCTCGGGCGTAGCGGTGACGGCAGCTGCAGCAGGGGTTGCCGCGGGCAGAGCGGCGGCAGCAGGCGGTGCCGCGGGCAGAGAGGCGGCAGCGGCAGCAGGCGGCGTCGCGGGCAGAGAGGTGGCAGCAGCAGCCAGCGCTGCTGGCAGGTCCGGAGCAGGCAGGTCCGGAGAATTTAAGCCAGCGACAGCCCCTTTAAGAGCTTTGGGGATCCGCGGAATAGCGTCCCTCACGGCGCGTATTCCCCCTTGCCCCAGACGCTCTGGCCGATAAAAGTAAGCCTCCATAGGAGGTGGCTTTTCATCAGAGCCCAGTAGAGCAGCACAGGCGGGGTCCTCCCAGGCGGGGAAAAGCGAGCACGCTCCCAGGAAGAGCGTCGGGGCGGCTTCCTCCCCTTTTCCCCTTCGCCTCTTCTTCTTGCGCCGACCAGGACCGGTAGGAGGGGGCGGGGTTACCTCCGTGCAGGAGTGTGGCCGGAGCCGCTTCTCTCTTACCCGGTCGACTAGTTGTTGCAGAAAGGAGCGCACTTCCGCCATTATGCGCTCCTCGGTTCGTGGGTTAACCTCTTGGAGGAGATCCCAGCTTTCCTCCGCCAGGGCGAACAGGCCGGGATCCCCGCGGATCTCCGGCAGCTCGCGCCAATACGTGACCTCGTGCAGCAGGACGAGCCAGAGGTCCTCGCCCTGCTGCAGTGCGTCTTTTGGGAGATTCGTCATTCTGTCACGTTGCGGCAAGAAGGCAAGCAGGGATGCAGGAGAGCAAGCCGAACTGACGGGTAATCAGGGGTTTTAATAAGCAAAAGACAGACAGGTAGGGACATCTAACGGACAATACAATGACGAATCTGGGGAAGACTGACTGAGACTCGGACTAAATACATGAGACAAGGCAAAAGGAATAGGCAACAGGTGATGACAATCAGTAGTTGACATGAGGTAATGAGGGGGCGTGACACACACGAGGATCGTTCGGAGCTGAACGTGACAGGTTGTCTACATCTTCACATTTTTGGCTCTGTTTTGTTGCCTTACATAATTTGCATTAGCCAGTTAGAGTTTGATCTCTCTAAAACAGGATTTTCAAAGTTTCAAATGTACATTGTGTGTATACGTGTGTGTCTGGGGGTAATGTATACATTACATTGTGGGGATCAAATATCCTAACAATGTAATAAAACCTGTTATTTTGACTTTATGGGGACCACCTTTGAGGAGAAACTAAATTTTATAAAAAAAATTGTGACTGCACAATCAAAAAACTAAAAATGCTTATAGTGAACACGTCTGTCTGGGTTAAACTGATCACAATTTTTTTTCTTATTCTTTATGTCTCAGAGTACTTAATTTTGATTTCAAAATACAGTACAACCATTTCAAATGCTTTTCAAATTACAGTACTGTACAAATTAAATTACTGAACTGTGTATAATTGAAA